GAGACGAGAGANAGAGAGAGAGAGAGAGAGAGAGAGAGAAGGGAGGGGGAGGATGCTAATTGTCCTGAACAGAGAATACAAAAGGAATTAAGACGAATTGAGAACTAAAATTCAAAAGAGATTTACTGTAATGGAAAGAAACAAAAAAACCACAAGAAGTGATATGATAAGGCAACTCGATCCACGCCCTTTACATGGAAAATAGAGTGATGGTAAGAATGGGTGTTGGAGTGGGGTTCTAGAGTGATTCTAGAATCGGTTTGCCTCCCTCCTCCATGTGCCCAAGTCAGGTAAATGTGGAAACTTGATTCAAGGGATATTTTTCTGAGAATCAGAAAAGTAAACAATACCAATTGATCCATGGAACGATTAGTATGATAAGCTTTCTTTGGATCCAAAATCGCCTTCTTTGGAGGTTATAGTTGATAAGATACTTAGTGAAAATTTATCCTCATCCATTTACACACTTGTTTGTCATTGGTAGGAGGCAAAAAGGAGGAATTAGAATTGTCAAGGCCCATGTTCATAAGCATAAGCTTTTTGGTATAACAAAAGTTTACAAAGTCCCAGAACATATAATAGGGCCAAAATATGAACATCGGAATTTTTTCTTGAAATGTCGACAGATATGAACATTTGAGTCTAAAGGAGGAATTAAAATTATAGAAATTTTCACCCTGAAGTTAAACCTGCAGGGCTTGATAATAGTTTTTCCATTTCTGGATACAATCCTGGTATGGATCCTAAACTCTCACTTTGCGATAGTGATCACATCTTTATTGCAATCAAGAATTGATCTTGCCAAACAAGATGATTAATTTTATTTCTGGTTTTCAATGTACCTTTACTTCGACTCGGGAAAGGTAGGGTCTCTTTTCTGGATCCTGTGAAAAACGTACTCTTCCTTTTCGCTCTCCAGATTTTGTCCACTCTTTGAGGACCTCAGGATTCTTCCATAACTCCTCCATATCATCTGCAGAAGCTTTTGAGTCCCAATAAGTCCACCCGGCTGTTCACAAAAGATATAAATATTAGCAAGTAAATATGACCATTATCAAACTGTATAGAAAAGAGTCAATAACATACATCAAAGGTAAACTAACTATGAGACCAGTTATTGAAATTTTTACTTCACAGGCTGCATGCGAACTATTTAGATAAAAAATAAGAATACCTGTTGTTGAAGAAGCACGGTTAACATGATCAAGATCATCAGAGGCCATAGAATACTTCTTGGCTAGATTTACTTCACTGCATATAAATTAAGGAATAATTTCTTTAGTGATCAAATATTTCCAAAAGATAGTCCCAAAGTTAACACCATACTGATGCCAACTAACTCCAGAATAAACAAGAAATAAACCTTTTACCATGCATATTAATGCTCATGAAACAGCGACATTTGAACACAGTGTAAACTATATAAACAATCATTGGATAGATATTAGTATATGGTACACAATGCAGAAATGGAAGTCAGAACTAGGTGTTGGCACTTAACTAAAAATGAACTTAGTTGTAGTATTATTGTTCTCAATAGTCAAACACTCACAGAAGCTAAGGTATTGGCCCATGATGTGGTTATATATGGTTTTTTACTAATTAAGGACAGGCACCCCAAATTATCATAGTGGTCATTCCCAATTTAATATGCAACATATCTTTTCGAATTGTCTTCTCTCAAAATTTTGATATATCCATACATTGAAAGCTTAAGTTTTCCATAATTGCCCTCTGGATTTTCACTTTATGGGGGATTCAGACAATTGGTTCGATTTAGGGTGTTAGAGACCACAGAACAACACCAAGATCAGAGTCCCACTGCTGACCTCCCAAAGGCAAAAGAATGCCCACTTTTAGTGGCTGATGCAAATATATTTTCTATCAAAGAGCAGTTAGTTACATCAAAGGTCAGAATAAATGATTCCAGTATGAAATCAGAGAATTTTGGCTGGGGTTTCACAATTAAAGTATAGACAAACATTCTATTATGGTATCAGAGCATCTAGGATTATATCACAGAATCCAGGGTTCTCTTCTTAGAAATTTACTTTCTCACAGAGACAACCTACTCGCACATGTTTGTTGTATTTATAAAAGACAGTCAGAAGCAATTTCCATGCCACATTATCTTCACAACCATGCTTATTGCACATTTGCTATGTAAGCCCAAGTCTTATGTAAAGATACTTCATGAAAATTACTCCACTTCTGCACTCAATCAAGCAACAGTGTCAAGTTTCCTACTCTTAACATGAAAACAATTTGAGTTAGCCTTATTTTCCAAAGTTGAAGTCTTTAGCCTCCTAGATTGACTAGAAGCAAAAACTGACCATGATGCTCAACTAGGTGCTATCTATAGTCTCAAGTGACCACAAAAATCCATAAGATTGCCACCTAATATATAATGGTAAACAACCATACCAAGGTTGATGAGGTTACAGGCTCTCTTTCCACGTTCAAGGCTCTAAAATGAGGTTTGTCTTCCACAGTTAATTTCATATTACTGGACATATTTACATTAACATGGTTTCCTTTTACCTACATTGTAGAACCATTAAAAAAAGTTCTTTTCACATCCTAAAATCAAAATATATATTAAGCGAATGCGTGAAAAAGAAATATATATAAGTCTTACATATAATTTCTATTATGAATTGAAAGTCTTGGAATGATGCACATCGCACTACTTCTTATATATAATTTCTATTATGAATTGAAAATCTTGGAATGATGCACATTGCACTACTTCGAGAGTATCCAGGGGAAATTATCATATTATGCTTTCAAAGAATCATGGAAATATTTGGCAAACCTTAGACATTTTCTACTAAAACATATTTGGATTTATATAATCATCATCATCATCTAAGCCTTATCCCAACTATTTGGAGTCGGCCACACAAATCCTATCCTGTCATTCCGCTCTATCAAAGGCCATACTCACAGTCGAAATACAAGTCACCATATCTCTTCTCACTATTTCCATCCACGTCTTTTTGGACCTTCCCCTTGCCTTTTTAGATCATTCCACTTAAACCAAATCACCCCTTCTTAACCAGTATTGTTCTAGGTCAATGCTGGACATGCCCAAACCACCTACGTGTACTTCCCCTCACGTTATCGCCTATTGGAGCTACCCTTAAGTTCCCTCGGAAGTATTTATTTGGTTTTATATAATGCATACCATAAATTGGTAAAGGGGCTAGCAAAACTTTTGATGCATCTTACAATAAACCCAATGAAGTAGCCACTGAAAAGGTAATACTTGAGAAGTTCTAAAATCCTCACGGTTGAAAAGGTGGAGCAATAATGATAATGTTCATGATGCAGATATGAGACGAACAAATTTGGCGTCTTCTTGGATTCCAATTCTAGGGATTGAGGGATATATGTGTTAGCTTTTTGCTTAAATGGTGTTTCAAAACAACTCTTTTCTCAAAACATTTTATGGAACATTTCTATAGGATGGACCGTTAGTCCACCATCTTTTGCAAAATTTTTACGTTAAAGGTGATTTGTTATCACCTTGCGTGGCTATTTTGTACCTATGAAATCTTGACACCTATTTTTGAGGTGTTGGGTATTGCCTCTCTCTCTCTCTCTCTCTTAAGAAGACTCTCTCTATTTACAGGTTAAGAAATAGAGAACTTCCTGTTAAATGGAAGCCTCACAGTGAGCTCTCTCTCGGTTCATAGGCTTTTTCTCTCACTAATTTTGACAGAAGTATGACTATCTCATGGAATCATGAAGTGAATGATGGATTTTATTTATGTATGGTTTTCTCGCTCTCTAATATGTGGCTTTGTTGTCATCCAGTAAGTTTTTGAACATAATATAATTTTATATAGGATTTTTCATGTGTTCTGTACCCAATGGATGTTTGTATTTTATCAATTGGAAGACTTATTTTCGTGAGAGAGAAGTTGTTCCTAATCGATGTTTTAGTGTTATATACTGATTGGATGATAAATTTTATAGTGAGAGAGAAAAGTTTTCCATCCTAATCGATATTTAATTATATCGATTGGATGATGATTTTTGTAGTGAGAGAGATGTTTATTTTCAATAGATATTTGTGTTACTATAACAATTGGAAAGACATAACAGTATTTTTGTGACTGTAGTTTTGTACGGGTCTCATAAGTGTGCAACTCAGGGACTCAATATTTCTATTCCGATCTGGCTGTATCCTTGGAGTGTACTCGTCGGGACCCATTTGCTCCTCGGATTTTACCGAGACGGGGGCGTTAACACTTCGAAGAAAGCGAGCTTCTCTCGTGCCTCCTGATCCCCTGATTTTGGGTCACATTTTTGGGAGTTCATGTCCACCGTAATGTTTTGTAAACTGCGGTGAGATCCCAATCAACCAACAATTTCGAAGTGTTAAAGCGGGAAGTTACTTATGGAGATGTTTATTAATGACTCGCTAAAATATAAAAACCAGGATTGTGTAAGGCCAGATTCCGGATTTGCATTGCTACTTTGTATAACCTCCGAATCCTACTCCAATTCCTACAAGAGTCTGGCTGGTACTAGGAGTGTTTCGATTTCCAGATACAACCTCTGAAACATGCTCTGATTCCTATGGGAGTCCGACTTGTATTAGGAGAGTTCTGGTATTTTTCTGGCACTATCCCGGACTAAGGTGGGGTGCTGCAGTTTTTTCCCAGGATTTGAGAAAATGATAAGTCTTATCATGCGTAAGTAAGGCTATCGACCGTAAGGCAGGCCATCGACCATCAGTAAGGCTATCGATTGTAAGTTAGGTCATTGACCGTCAGTGAGGTTATCGATTGTAAGTCAGGCCATCAACCGTCAGTGAGATTATCAACCGATGACTTTGTAGTAGGGGATGGACTGAAGTGTCTCCAGACATGTTTTCAAAATTTAAACATTTTGTTGGGAGCTATAGAATGGTGGGGGTGACATTGTCCTATAAAATGACTACCCCATCTCAGCCAAGGTTATTGGCAAAGGGACATCTGATTTAAATTCACGTCTGGTGAGGTCCTTGTTTTGTTTTTAAAATTTGTTCTATACCTCTGAAATCCGGAGATATTTTGTTAAGTCTTGGATTCACGCCTCAGTAGGCATGTATTGTATGAGAGTTATGGTTACCCTCTGTTGTGGGTCAACTGGTTTAATATACCAGTAACCCAAGTTAAGAGCATTGGGATGCGGTCTGTAGGGTCCTAAGGTATTTGAAAGGAACTATAGACCATGACCTATATATTGTGGGTGATCCACTGTATTAAAAGGTACAGTGATGTATTCTGGATTTTAATGAATCTATGACTTTCATTTGAATCTCCACTTATGGTGGGGATGTATTTTTGGATTCCAAGAGGAAGAATTGTATCTCCAAATGATTGGAGAAAATTCCTTGGAACCCGGAGTGAGGAGGCAAAGTGGCTAAGGACTCGATGGTAGATGTACCACCTGTTCAGGGACCATGCCTATAGTCTCGTACTGTGTGATTGTGAAGTTTTTGTATACCAAGCGAATGGTTAGGAATTTATTTTGGCAAATCCAGTTATACTCGTTTGAGGCACAGTCAGTTGAGACTTATGTTTGAGATGGAATCATATTAATACTCCACATCTGATTTACTAAGGACAAGGAAGAATCTTTATAAAAGACCTTGCCAGGCACCAAGTCTGGAAGATAGCTAGAGGGATGGGATTGCAAATATATTTGTGCCAAAGGGCGATGGGAACCCTACCAAGGATAAGGAGATCCCAATTCCAAAGTTCAAAGGGAAAAACAAGTCGCTTTTGTGATGTATGATGGATGTGAGTACCACAAGATAATATTTTATGAAAAAAATTGCCCCATGCCTGGCTGTGTGGTACATTTTACTGCAATGAATAAAGAGATTGAGCTTCGCTCATAATGATTCCATTTGCCTAGATGATGTAAGGCTTAGGCTGGGGTGTCGCACTGTAGGACATCTTCCATGGATTCACCTATATGAGTGTGGAAGTGGAGGCCGCTTCCTTTGCGAATTGGGCATTCCTTAGAGTGCTTATGAAAACCAGGATTAGCGCAGGGCCTTTAAATGCGCAAGCCTTTAAGAAAACCACAGGTTTTGAAAGAGAATGTGCGGCATGTGGGAGGCTTATCAATAAAGGACATAGTTCAAGGTGTGTCCACTCACTGTTCTGGTAAGCGTTCTGCATAACACTACGTGCAGGTTCAAGTCCAAAAGACACCTTCACTTATGCATTCGTCTTTCCAGATATGTTTGG